ATTCTTCCTTAGTTTCCAATAATAATAATAATGTCAAATAATCATATAGCTTATGTATATATATATATATTCAATAAAACATCCCAAAATCATATAATTACTGTGTTTATTTCCCCTTTTTATTTATTATTATTATTTTTTTCCATAAGAGCAATTATTTCCTACATCATATATTTGACCAGAATAATTCTTCTAAAAACTATTTACATATATGTATTTCTCTGTTTAATATTTCCATAATATATATCCTTAAAGGCATTTACCAAAATCATGTTATAATTACCTTAATTCCTTGAAAATATTATATCAAGTAGTTACTTCTTTTATTTTCACCAAATATAACCATATACTATATTTTTTTATTATTCCCAGAAAAATTATAATCAGAAATAGGTATATTTTTATATTTCCAGAATTATATATATACATTTATTCTCTCTTTTTTTTTAATTAACCGGACTGGGACATACTATGCAACCCACATCCAAACTCAGCCCAACCTAGGGATCAGCATGGCCCAGGCGTAGAGGTCCAGTCCAAGGCATGAGCCACAGGCCCACGCCCAACCGAGGCTTGCTCCAGCCCAAGCCTCTCAACCAGGTCGAGCCCGAATCACAACCAGCCCGCGATCCGGACCGTTCGGGTCAGACCGCTACTACACGGGTCAGCCCACCCGTTTAGACGGGTCGTCTTCAACTTGTAGTTGGCTCACCTCGGTTCTTGCAGGCGGCGACGAAGGGGGACGGCTGCGGTGGCGTACGGGGCTGTAGGTGGACGGCAGGAGGCGCGACTGCAGGCGGGAAGGCGACGGAGGCGAGGGTGGCGGTCCAGCAAAGGCGGCGCGACACCGCGGCAGGAGGAGGAACGAGTCCGGCGGTGGCTTCGTCGGGTTGAGCTCCAAGGCGATGGCGGCGGCTCAACGATGGCGGAAGGAGGAGAAGGACGACGAGGGGAGGAAGAAGGATAAGCAAGTGGTGGTGATGGCTCGGGTGGCGGTTGCAGGTGGTGGAGGTGGTCGTGGTGGTTGGTGGTGGCGTCGTCGGGAAAGAAAAGAAGAGATGGGGGGGTTGCTGGAACGACGGCGTGTGGGGGTGTGTTGTGTGTTTTTGTATGTTTTTTTTTTCCTTTTCTTTTTGCAGTTGATTTTCTTGTGGGTTTTGCAGGTGAAGCAGGATAGAGGAAGATGTCGAGAATGGGTTGCAAGTGTAGGCAATGTTTTCTTTGTTTACAGGTGATGGCGTGCAGGCAGAGTCACGGGTACATTATCAGCTCACAGGTTCACAATGGGAGGCGGCTGCGTGACTCAATCATGCAGTCGTGTCCCGTCCGGACCAGAAAATAACTGTAATGCCCCCTTGACTTAATTTCTGGCCCGATAATTCGAGGTTAAACCTGACTTTTCTTAAGATTCCTGGACCCAAAAAATACCAACTCTGGTCCGAAAAATCCGCAGAAAAATCAGGAACATGGGGTAAGGGTCGGTTTTAGAATCCAATGCATAATTTACCCTAAAATAATTACCCAAGATTAATTTCATAAGATAAATTACTGTACAAAGTTTTTTTACAGTCCCGGTAAAAACACAAATTTTACTCGGGCTGTTACACTTATTTTGAATAATAATTTTAATAAAAAATCGAAATATTTGAATAATCAACAAAGAACGAGGAAGAAAAATAATGACTGCAAAAAAAATAATAACAAAAGAAAAAATAATCACAAGAAATTCATGACTGATGTGTTTGTAGTTTTTTTATTAGCAAGAACTGAAACACCCCAACCACTATTTACCCAACAAACAGTATTTACCGAACAACAGTGCCGACACGTGTCACAAATAGTAAAAACCGATCCAATGGCCCAATGATAACTTCAATCACCCGACCTCGAGTACAACAGTATCAATAGTACAGCGGAAGCAATTTTAATAATCACAACAAAGTATGATTCGAATCGATGCAAAACTAAGGATCCAGATCCGTCAGAGGAGATGCCGCAGCCTGCCATGATGCATACCTGCACAAAGAATAACGTGGCCTGCCGATGGGGCAGGTGAGGGGTGAGATTCTCCGTACTCTCACCGACACATAACCCAGGATGAACAACGTAAAGTAAGGTAACAAACAAGAGCATACCAATACATCATATGTGTCGTAATTAGATCACATAACAAAATAGTCATAAAGAACAATACGGACTAATGCAATTGTCCACCCCATTGACTATGCAATGCACTGACCATCTAATACTAACATGCCATAGATAGTATCAAGTCGTGGCATGGGGTGAGATGTATCATTAAGATTGTGTAGTAACCGATTTTTCTTTAATGCTGTGTACTTAGTTGTGCGTTACATCTTATTGCGTTTGTACATTCTTTAAATCTCAATAAAGCAATCGTTTATATCAAAAAAAAACATACCATACAATAGTGCCCGACCAGGACACCTCAACTCAACTACATGTTTGGTAACTGACCCAGTCTCAACAGACTATACAACACATACTCTAATCCTGACAGACTATACTCAACAGAGATTCCTCATCGTATGATAACATACCATTACTGTGCTTGCCGATCATCTAACCCGGTACCAAAACAAAACAATCTCAAAATCATGTGAGCCTCGCTCACCGGTTAGCCGGCAACCTGCACGAACCTTACCCAATCAATATCACAACAGGTCCCCGGGTAGAATCACAACACAACACGGCATCAGCAGTCACCACAGCAACTTGTAACCATAACAATAATCCTCATTAAGCTCGATCTCTGGGTATCGACATACCCTTAGAAATAACAATCATCCAACCGTCGACCGCAGCCGACAACCAATATATCTCAATATCAAGTCACAACTGTAAGTGTTACTCGTCTGAAAACCGTCAATAGAAACCGACAACATTCAAATGACAACTGGCAACCGATGACTACAACAATTGACCACTCATGACCAACGACAACAACATACATCCGCAAGCCGACAACCGATGCCGACCACGACAACCAACTAAACCGAGGACTAATAACCTCTCAGGGTATGATCATGGGACATCCTGCATATGAATATTATACATCACAACCTACCAAAGGTAATATCAGCAAAACACAGAACTTCACAACAAATATCATCGAATTTCACAAAAATATATCAACAATCATAAAATGCAATAGAACTTATGTAGTTCCAAAACCAACCATCCCGGTTATCACGGGTGGCATGACGTATATGCAACCTCACCTTAGCAGATAAACTCCTCCAAAAACTCGTCCTCTGGTTCCGGTTCCATGGGCTCGTTCACGTTATCAAATCCTATAATTAATAGCAATAATAGTGTCACACAAATGCACAATAAATATGATATGCATATGACTATTATGCCATTTAACCATACCCGGGTAATATTTTCGTTTAAGCATTACTCCCGAAATTATATGTGTTTCCTTCTCCACAAATTAATATATATATCGTATATATATATATATATATATATATATATATATATATCTCCGGGTATTATTCCGATATTATACTTTGATAATACCCTTTCCAAAAATATTTTCATGAAAATAATTATCATATATACTTTCCACAAATATTTTCACAAAGATAATTATTACTATATGTATTGTTCTCAAAATAATTTTCATAAGAATTATATATTCTTTCCTAGAAAGTATTTACCATAATATAATTTTTCCAAAAATATAATCATATTTATTTTATTATTTTTTACACTAAATATGGTTTTCCAAAAAGAATGCTTACCTGCATGGGATCCCCAATATTCACAGTCAGTGCTCCCTTTATGGGAGTTACTGGTGTCCATTTCCCATCCTCGTAGAATTCAAGTCCCCCTATGTCATCCTGTAACAGAAGGGTAATGATGCTGGCATCTTGATGAGCAATCACTCCAATTCTTTCCTCATCAGGATCTTTTGCAGCAATGTAGCAATCACTCCAATTCTTTCCTCATCAGGATCATCCTGTAACAGAAGGGTAATGATGCTGACATCTTCATCTCCTCCTGCAGTGAAAGGAGAGAGATCTACTAAAGGAAAAACTGAGTCACTCATTTTTTTTTTCTCACTTCACTTGAATTGTAAGGTTTTTTTTGTATGTTTCATTCACTAGCTAGCTCCCTGACTTCCTATTTAAAGAGATTAGGCTCCTTTCCTTATTCTAATATCCCTCCATCCCCATTGGCATTAAATTACTACAATTTTGATCACTTCAGTAGCACAGACAAGAGATCTTATTTATTCAATTCATAAGAGCCACATTATTAGACAGCATCATTGAAAAAAAACATGGTCCCATGGAGTATCTTGAAAAACAGACAGGTGAGATTGCTTGTTGAACTGGGACACTCACATTAATCAAAAATCAAAGGGGCAACATTTTCAAGCCCAGTTTTAGAAAGGCCAACTGTGTAAGATGGCGAAAGGGAGAGTGAAGGCAAATTATTTTGAGCTGGCACAGAATTATATATTAGTTATTTTGTCCAAAACAATATCCATCAATTTAACAACTTTTTTTATATTTTATTAGAGAGAGGAAAACATTACTTTACCTTGGGATTGATCCAAGTGCAGCAATTTGGTTTCATTTTTTTAAAATTCGTGTTCAGGCAAAACTCCAAAATACAAAAAAAAAGGAAATAAAAGCACTGGAATCAGATTATCAATTATGTAACCTATTCCACATAGGAAGCGACAAGGGTGAGGGACTAATGCAACAAATTTGGCGAGAGCTGATGAAAGTGGCAGTCACAAAAAGAAATTGGAAACCAAAATATATATCTACTATATATTTATAGAAAAATGAAATTAGAATATGGGTAAAAATTTTAAAAAAATTTGTAAAGCTCGCTGCATTTCTTGATGTTTCAAGCGTGATAAAAGAAATTTTCTCATTTTCAACAAAAAATAAAAAGAAAAAAATTTCTAATTCCTTAGGAGTTAGCCAAAAAAATGGGTAAAGCCCGGTTCTCATTGAGCAGGTTTACCCGAGTGGTTATGGGGGAAAACTTAAGATCTTTAGTACAGAAGTACGTGTGGCTTCGAACCCCACAGGCTGCATTTTAATTTTACAATTTTTAAATTTTGTAAAACAAAAAAAAATCTATATACTATATAAAAGCACCAATTTTAAAAAAACTGGCAAATTGATATAATTATCCTCAATTAATTATTATTGACTTAATTACCATTCATTAATTAATTACTATTATTATCTATATTTATATTTTCTATATAAAAACACCAACACAAAAAAGCGGCAAATTATTTTTCTTCTAACGACGATCAATGAAAACTTAGCAAGCTAAAATTTAATTTTTTAAAATGTAACAGCCCGGGTAAAAATTTAAATTTTTACCGGGATTGTAAAAGTCTTTTTACAGTGATTTACCGAATGAATTAATCTTGGGTAATTAATTCAAGGTAAATCGGGCGTCGTTTTTCGAAATCGAGGGTTTTCCCGCGCTCGAGATTTTTCCGTGGATTTTTCGGACCTAAGTTGGTATTTTTCGGGTCCTGGAATCCTCAGAAAAATCACACCGGAAAATAACCAAGTGGGTACATCAGTTATTTTCTTGTCCGGATCGGACCCGCCTGTATTATTGAAGGCGGCGCAGCCTTCACAGGTCACACAGTGAATAAAACCTGTATAAAAGCTGATCAGAAGGAAGGAAGGAAGAAAAAAGGGAAGGAGAGGAAAAGAGGAGAAAAAAAAGAGAGAAAAAAAAGAAAAGAAAAAGGAAAAAAAAGAAGAAGAAATAAAAAAAAGAAGAAGAAGAGAAGAAGAGAAAAGAGAAGAAGAAAAAAAATAGAAATCAGAAAAAAGAGAAAAGGGAAAATGGAAAAAAAAAGAAGAAAGAAGAAAATAAAAGGAAGGAAAAAAAAAGAGAAGAAGAAAAAAATAAATACAGAAAATGGGGAAAAGAAAAGAGAAGGAAAAATAGGAAAAAAATAGAAAAAAAGGAAAAATAAGAAAAAAAAAGGAAGAGGAGGAGAACGTGAAAAGTGCCGTCACCCTCGGGTCACTGTTCACGCGAAGCCGTCTCGCGCCGCCTCCCGACACACCGCCGCCACCATAGCCCTTGTCACACCGTCGCCGACCTGTCGCCGCCCTACCCATCGCTTTCCGCTGCCGGACGCTCCTGCACGAGCCGTTGACCCGGTGGAGGACCCACGGATCCGCCTCCCAGCCTTGCTGCCGCCGCGCCTCGCACCGCCACCTGCAGCCGCCAATACCAGTGACGTCACCCTCGCCTCGCGACGCCTGCACCGTTGCTGCCGCTCGCGCTGTCGTCGCCGTCGCCGCTGCTAAGGTGAGACCCGTGGGTTGCGACAACCCATTTCTTTCGGGCGGGTCGCGAGCTGAGGCCTGGGTTGGGCCGGATTGGTGTCGGGCCAGGCTTAGGGAGCGGGCCTGTGCTTCGGGCCTGCTACCATGGTCTGGGCTGCACTATTCAAGGCCCAGTCCGATTTTATTTAAAAAAAAACCAAAAAATATATATATATATTAATTTTGAGAAAAAAATACATTTTTACTTTGAGAAAATTATGGCTAGTTTAATTCTAGTATTTTGAGGAAAATATAAATATAAATACTTTGGTAAATAAATAAGTTATGTTTTGGAAAAACTATTATTATTTGGAAAATATATATACCATGAAAATAATACCTGGAAATTTTATATATATATATTATTTTCCCTTGAAAAATATGGTTGTGGAATATATATGTATATATATGTAATTTGAAAATTAAAGGTAATTATATTTTGTGTTGGAAAATATTATTATATATATTTAGAAAAAGATAAATACTATATATTTTCTGGAAATTATAAATACGTTATTATTTTTCTGGGAAATTATGGTGATTATATTTTGGGAAAAGTATAATTAATTTATGAAAATATTTTGAAAAGAGTTTTAATAAAAGTATGGTACCGAAATTATATTCGGATATACATACGGTATAATATTTTCGGTAAAGAGAAATAATAAAGGATATGAACCGGGATGGGTTTATTTCGCAGTATTGGCATCATAGCATACCGATTATGTGCATTTATGTGTATATATTGTTTTGTTGTATAGGTTTGGATATCGGGCAGTTTCCCGAGGAGCCGGCTTGGGACCGGTTGATGTCTTCAGAGTTGAGTTATCGGCCAAGGTGAGGATGGATTTCCTTCAATATGTGCCTGTATTACTCGGTTATTGTGTTTGATGATTATTGCAATGTTGGATGTTGCATTTGCTGTGGTTTGATTTGGGATGTTTATCCCATGGTCTTGATTGTTGTCGGGATGTTTATCCCAGTATCTTGATTGGTTTTTGGATACTTATTATCGTGTCTTTGGCCATAAGAATAATGGAATAAATAATAAATTGTGATAAGGATGTCGATCCTTGGTTTGGTTTGGGATGTCTATCCCGGTATTTTGGCTAGGGATGTTGATCCCTGAGATTTGGATTTGGAGAATGATGATATAATTGTCACGTGGTAAGTAGTGGTACGACTCGATGGTTTAAGACTGTTTTGTAGTGGCCATGACCTGGGTTACTTGTGATAAGCATGTCTATGCTTGGGATGTCTATCCCGTGATTATTTTTGGGATGTCCATCCCTGGATTCGTATTTTTGGGATGTCGATTCCTGGGTTCTCTTGGATTTGGTCTGGCACCCGGAATATGTTGATAACCAGGTCTGACCCCTAGCTTATCCGTGACGGGGCCCGGAAAGATAAAATTGGAAAATTGGATTTTTGATTTACTATTTTTAGTCTTGGACCAGTTTTGGGTCGGGTCTTTTTGGATTGTCTTATTTTGGGCAGTTATGCTGGTTTTTGACCTTGAGTAATTATAGAGTTGCATATTGATTGTCTATCCTTCGTTGGTGAGCACTTCGGACTACTCACCCCTCACCTGCGGGCTTTTATACCGTGAACAGTGCCAACACCCTCGGGTCACTGTTCACGGGAAGCCGTTTCGCGCCGCCTCCCGACACACCGCCGCCACCATGGCCCTCGTCACACCGTCGCCGCCCTCCCCGTCGCTTTCCGCCGCCAGACGCTCCTGCACCAGCCGTTGACCCGGTGGAGGACCCGCGGATCCGCCTCCCTGCCTTGCTGTCGCCGCGCCTCGCACCGCCAGCTGCAGCCGCCAGTACCAGCGACGTCCCCCTCGCCTCGCGACGCCTACACCGTTGCTGCCGCTCGCGCTGTCGTCGTCGTCGCCGCTGAACCCGCTTAGGTGAGACCCGTGGGTTGCGACAACCCGTTTCTTTCGGGCGGGTCGCGAGCTGAGGCCTGGGTTGGGCCGGATTGGTGTCGGGCCAGGCTTAGGGAGCGGGCCTGTGCTTCGGGCCTGCTACCTTGGTCTGGGCTGCACTATTCACGGCCTAGTCCGATTTTATTTAAAATAAAACAATATATATATATATATATATATATATGTATATGTATGTATGTATTTATTCATAATATGTAGTTTAATTCTGGTATTTTGAGGAAAATATATGTAACAGCCCAGGTAAAAATTTCATTTTTACCGGGACTGTATAAGTTAGTGTACAGTAATTTACCATTTATTTTTAATCTTGGGTAATTAAATTATGGTAAATTGAGTATGGTTTCTGAAACCGAGCATAGTCCCATGCTCAGGATTTTTCTGCGGATTTTACGGACCAAGTTGGGATTTTTCCGGGTCCGGGAATCTTCGGAAAAGCCGGGCTATTCTCGTATTATCGGACTAGAAATAAGATAAGTGGGTATACCGGATATTTTCTGGTCCAGGTGGGCCACACTTCACATGCAGCATAGTAACTGCATAATTGAAGTTCAATTATTCAGCCGCCAATTCCTATTCAGTCTGTGACTTATCAATAATTTTGCTGTCTTTAAATTATTCTTCAGTTCAGCCTTACACGCCACTACCTGCACATCATCATACTCTTCTTCAATTCTCCTCCTCTGCCAATTTTCTTCTGCAACCAACTTAACAAAAAAAAAAGAAAAAAAAAACTCCATTCCTGCAAATCGTTTGAACCAGAAAAAAGAGGGAAAAAAAAAAGAAACAACACTAAACACCCAACGAC